GGTGGCTGAGTTCAATATGCCTTATGAGGCGTTTAAGCAGAGATTTCCTTCACCGGCAAAGTATGTAGAGGAGACCACCGTGCCACAAAAGTGGGCAAGATGTGTTTCTCCGGTTGCTAGATACAACCTCGACACAAGCAACTCCGTGGAATCTCTAAACAAAACTTTTAGGGATGCGATGAAGTACTCCTTAATACCCATGCTTGATACGATAGTTCGAAAGTTTTTTGATTGGTTTAACCAGCATAGGAACGAGTCCGTGGCAGGAACGAGTGCTCATAAACTGGTTCCTTTGGTTGAGAACTTCTTGCATGACAATTGGCCTATAGCTGAGAAATTAGATGTGAGGGAGGTAAACGGTTGTGACCTTGAATACGAAGTCATATCAGAAGAGGGAAAGTTTTATTTGGTGGACTTGGCCAATAAAACTTGCAGTTGCAGGTTTTTCGATATTCATAAGTATCCTTGTATCCACGCATCAGCCGCTTTCATCTCCTTCAAGAATAATGGAAGGCGTGATATCTGCATAGAATATTATGACTTGTGTTCGAAATACTATTTCATGGAGATGTGGATATTGGCTTTTAGCAGATCGATCTACGTGGTGCCCGATATGTCTGCGTGGATTGTACCAGTTTACATCATGGAGAAGGTCATCCAGAAGAAAAAAGATTTCCATCAACGGGAGAAAGGCGCCGAAGGGGAAGGACACAGAACAAACTCAAGCGGGGAAAGACACTAGCAGGGTTACTATATGGAGAAGACTTTGCATGATGTAACTCGTTTTCGCTTTTGTAGTACTATGTTATGATTTCTGTGTAATACTAGTATAACTATGCATGATTGGTGACTTTTCAAAGTAATTATGTATTGTCATTTAAAAACCAAAACTAATCACCTAAATTAGTTAATTTTGTTGGAACTACAACTTATATGTCATACAAATCGATCTTTAACATTCCCTTATACTTTAAGAAACACTTTCTTATAGAGAATCAACTTGTTAAGTGAATAGTACAAAAATACCATATTCAAACTTATTTTTGCATAGGACAATGATATTCATATTGAAAACCATATAATTAAACTGTAATACTAGAAAATATAAGTTTTAGGTGATATAATATAAGTTTTAGGTGGTGTAATACTATTTCAAGGTTCTGTATAACTAACAATCTAGTATTACTATGTGTATTTTTCGGCGGGAAATTGAATTTTTTCGGCAGGAAATTAAATTTTTTTGCAGGAGAGTGTACTTTTCAATCTAATCTAAAATTCATTACAAACTTTCGAACTCTCTCTGTCTCTTAAAGTCGATCTCTCATCTCTCTCTCAAAGAACTCTCTCATCCTCTCATCTCCCTCTCTCTCTTAAAATCGATCTCTCCTCTCTCTCTCTCGCACGATCCAAATGGATTCGGATTGTAGCTATCACTACACAAACAATTTTCTCATCGACCCATACGAGGAGGAGTTGAAGGAAGAGAAGAGGCGCCGCAAGGAAATGGAGAAGATGTAGCAGCATTGGGACATGATTGGATTCGTTGCCGGCGGCCAATATGTGATTCCGAGAAGATGCCCTTGTGGTGGATCTATCAAGCATGATGTATCTCCTTCTCCAAAATTTAAACACGATTTCGATACTCAACCAGGCAATAGGTACTTTACCTGCACCAAATTTAACGTATAATCTCTATAATTTCAGATCTGGGGTTTTTTCTGGGTAAAACTAGTAAAACTAGGTTAAACTATTTAGATGTTCTTCAAGTGTAAAACTTGGAATACTAGGTATAACTGTAATGGATGTTGCTCGTTTTTTTGTTTTTTTGCTAGGATGATGGACTCCACTTTCGTCAGCCATGGGTTTTCGGAGTCGAACAAGAGATTGAGAAGCTAGTTATGAAAGTTGAAGAGCAGAGCAAGACAGTTGAAGAAATGCGAAAACAGATTCAGATCCAAAAGATAGCCAAGCTCAAGACTTAACGAATCTGCAATTTCCTTTAATTGTTGTTTTAATTGTTGTTCAAGACTAACGTTTCCTATTTTGCTTGTATTTTTATAAGTTATCAATGGCGGCTACTAGTATTACTAATGTTACTTAGTATTTTTTTAGTATCACCTAGTATTACTAACTTTTCTTAGTATTTCTTTGTCTAGCAACACTTACTAGCACTAGTTTTACCTAATAATACAGAAATTCAATAATTCAAATTAAAAACATAGTTCATCCGAGATCGAAAATAAAAACAAAGTACAGTTCCAAATAAAAACAAAGTACTAGTTCCAAAAAAAAACAAAGTACTAATTCCAAATCAAAACAAAGTTCTACCAAATATAAAAACAAACATTGTGTAGACGATTTCTCTTGTTCAAGAGCCTGAATCCTTTCTCGCTTCCACATAGTCTTCAAGTGGCTTTATCCTATCATCAATTTTATGGACCATGTTATTGAGCAAACCCAATTGCTCTGTCATGGTCTCCATCGCCCTAACGACATCCTCTAGAGAAATTTTCTTATCTCAGGGTTTTTTCCTTGCTCTTTCCTCCACCATTTTTTCTCGCCCTTTCACATCTTCCTCCTTCATGTCTTCAAACACAACCGTCAATCCATTATTAATACATTTTTCCCAACTTTCCACAACAGGATCGTGCTCATCAACATTGTCCTCCGTTTCCATTATCCAATCCAACATCGCATTCTCCTCCTCTGAAGCTATCAGCACACTGTCAATGTCCTGTCAAGTTAAACACATTTAAACAACCAATTATAACAAGTTTCGTTGTATTTTTCAAATCTGCAATTACTACTAACCTTGTTCTCGCATCCGAGCTTTTCATACACAGTCTCAAGTGGCCAGCCTCACAGGTCGCATTTCTTCCACTTGGACCTGCACATCCTCGGACAATCGACGTTAGGATTTGGTACAGCTTCTCGGAAGCTCTGTCTCAGTGGCATAATGGCCTCCATCGCCAAAAGCTACAAACATACGCATATAATTAGAGTTAACTTAAAATGAAAAGGAAAACAATGCAAAAGACAATCTTTTACCTCCAAAAGAATGCAAAAACCATGAAACGACCATGCACTGCCCAACCCCTTCTCAACAAAGTGCTTCATCGTATCCGAAATGGACTATAAGATGCGATCAAAAGACAATCTCCCCCAAGGAAATGTCTTACACTTATCCAAATCATCAGCGTATTTTTAAAATACTTGGAGCACGGGTTTCGCGTTGTCTCTGGTTTTGGTGGGAGAGTAGATGATGCTGCTCAAGAAATACAACACCACCCTCTCCACTATCATCCGGGCCCATCTCTACAAGCTTTTTCTTCACGTCCTCCCTTAAAACCTTCTTTTTTCCAGGAAAATACTTTCGCTTCAAGTAAGAGTTGCCTCTTTTATTCCAATAGAGAGGGTGGTTGCTGCAATTGAGTCCTCAGATCAAAGCATGCTCTCGTAACCCATATCGGACGGGAACGCCATTAACCACAAACCAAGCCTTTTTCTGCCTTTCGATCCTAGCAGTACGCATCAACAACATCCACAATAGTTGAACCATATGATTGCTCTTCGGCATGTGAAGAATGTGGCAGAACTGCGGATGCTGCTCAAACCACTCTCTTTCCGTCGGAGTCAGATCCACTTTCTCAAACGTCTCCATAACTTCTTGGACGAAATACCGGGTTGGTAGTTTAATACTCTTGCTATACTGATCAGGTTTTAAGTACATGTCTGCTCGCATGGCAATCGTCTCTTCAAAGGCACCCTGTAACATACATACAATATTAATACCAAAAATATTACAAAATAGTACTAGTTTTATCCAGTTTTTTTAGTTTTACCAACATGCTAGTATTACCTAATTATCCTAGTTTTACAATTTCTGACAATTGCGAATTGAGAATTGTGATGAAAATGCGAAAGAGTCCAAGAAGGAGATAATTAACTTACAGGATTCCGGCCATCGGAAATACCATCTCCGAAGGCTTCTCCTTCTGACTCATCTCCGCCTCCGGTTACCTCTTGGACCGTCTTGTTACCTACCTCCGACGTTTCCGCTTCAACAATCGGAGGAGGAGCCTCTCAAGCCGGAACCCCCTCCGAGAGCTCAACCCCCTCCGAGAGCTCAACCCCCTCCGGTGTTTGTGTTTCGACAATCGGAGGAGGAGCCTCTCCACCCGGAATCACCTCCGTCATTTCTGCTTCAACAATCGGAAGAGGAGGAGCCTCTCGAGCCGGAACCTCCTCCGCTTGTGTTTCGACAATCGGAGGAGTCTCTCCACCCGGAATCTCCTCCGTCGTTCGAGACGTCTGTTCCCGATTTTGTTGTCTTACGCTTCTTTGCCGCCGGCTTCTGACTTGGGTTCGGGTTCTCTTTACGCATTTTTTGCTTCTTCGCCGCTGGCTTCTGATTGCTCGGGTTCTTCTTACGCATTTTTCTCGTCCTCGACATCTTTTGTTCTCCGTCGATTCTCCCTCTTTCAACCGCTTTTTCTCGGTTTCGAAGAGACTCTTGAGATAACGGTTCGGTGTATGAGGAGAGATGATGAGAATAAATCGACTATCGATGTTTTTAAAAATTTGAAAGGAAATTCGAAAAGATTCAAGTGATTTTCGGGTTAACCCAATCTATTGTTAAAGCCCAAATTTTTTTGTATTATAAATAAAAATGATAATTTTATTAGATTTGGTTTGATTTTCAGTAATTTTTTATTTTTTTCATTTATAAAAAAATTTAATAAATTTTTTAAATTAAAAGAGGAGCTTTGCAGCTCAATCAATCCGTAAGCAGGAGGAGTATTGTAGACATTTTCTCATTAAAATTAGGGTCGATGAGTGATTTTGTCTTGTTGAGAAAAACACAAAAACAAAAATCAATCTTCTTCTCTCACTCCACTGAGTCGCTCGAATTTCAGGTTTTTCTCTCGGAGATCACTGATCGATTATGGTGAATTTTGGTTTCTTGATTGTAGAATTGTGAGGTACATGCTTCAATAACAATGGCGACTCCGAAGCGGCTGAATTTCGCCGATACTTCTATGGAGAAACCCGACTCAACGCATGCAGCAGAAGAAGAAGAGCCGATCAAGAAGACGACAACGAAGAAGAAGAAATTAACTTCTCCGGTGACCAAACGGATCTGGAACGAGGATGATGAACTCGCTATCTTAAAGGTAACTCCTTTTACTGTATTTTGATTGCATTGTTTGTTTTCCTTAACCAAAACCAAAATTAATAATTCTATAATCAGGGATTAGTTGATTACAGAGTAAAGACAAGATTCGATCCCAATTTCGATTGGGATGGTTTCTTCAATTTCGTCAAAAGCTCCATCAATGCAAATGTCTCCAAGGAGCAGATGTTTAGTAAGATCAGGAAGCTGAGAAGAAAGTTCGTTCTGCACATGGAGAGAATCAATGAAAGAAAAGATCCACTCTTTACAAGGTCTACTGATTCTCAAGCCTTTGGTTATTCCAACATGATCTGGGGCCAAAATGATGTTGATGTCTCTAACGGAGACGACATGGAGAAAACACATCAGATTGAGAATGGCGTATGTGACAGATTTTTTCATTTTTTTATTCAGCTTTTTCAAAATGGTTTTTGTTGAATTCTTTGGATTTTGTTTTTTTTTGTTGATGAATCATAATCAGAATCAGAAGGTTGAGTTTAAGGAGAATGGGCATGTGGGTAATGATGATGAGCCTGTAAACGAAAATGGGGAGGAGAAAAGAGAATCGCTTCATCGAGTGGTGGGTGTTGACAAAATTGATGGAAAAGAGAGTCATGGTGATGAAGATGGTGATGAGTTTTGCGCGGTGATAGACGCAGTTGAGACCATGATGTCGCATGGATTAAGTGATTATCAAAAGAAGCTGCAGCTTGAGAAGCTGATGAACATTGGAACAGGGAAAAGAAAAGAGTTGAGTGATGAATGGAAAGAGTTATGTGCTGAGGAAGTGAAGTTGAATATCAAGAAGGTTAGGTTTTCTGCAAAGGTTGTAGATGCAGCAAGTGATGGGATGAAATGAAGAAGCCATTGCAGCATTTTGGTGCTGTTTATTGAGTAGTCTTTTAGGAGTTGGTTTAGGTTGTTAGTACTTGTTAGTTTTAACGTTTGGATGTTGTTTTTGTCTAAAGCTTATTAGAACTTTTTTAGTGATTTACTTCGAAAGTGTGTGCCACATTTCTAACTTTTGATATTTAAATGTGTGTATGCCATTCCATTTCTTTAAAGCAAACTCTCAAAGAGAATGGTAACTAAACTAAAGCTATAAGGACATGCAGAGTGATGTGAGACTCGGAATCCACCAAAGCCTACGATTCTACGACCAACGGTTTATGCTTCTAACTTCTAAGAGTTCTTTCTCGCATAGACAGTCAGTTGCAACACGAAAATATAAGGGTTTAATTCCATAAAAACTTAGAAAATTGCAGAAACAAGTGTTTAAAAAAGATATTTTTTAATAAACAATAAAAAGAATTTTTTTTAATAATTTCTTGGTGTTTTTTTATAATGGTATTAGTGAATTTTTTATAGTTTTTACAAGTTATGATTTTAATAAATAAATTTAAAACAAAATATTCAAACTTAAATAAATGATATTAATTTGAATGGTCAAAAAGCTAGTTTTAAGGGATTTGTGATGTGAAATGGGATGAACCAAATATTGGAAGTTGACTATGCATTTATGCTCTTTGAAGACTGAAACTTTGTGGCTTAAAAAGTAGCTTAGGAGGTGGGTGTTCTTCATGGAATGTTAGTTGACTAAGAAAAACAAATATGATAGAAGTTTCCTGGAATCGAACCAACTAAACCCGTTTTGAGAAATTGGGCATAGCTTGTGAACCTGGTGGGAATATCTTCGGATCATGGGCTGCTGGAACCAGGAGAGACCCACTAATAATCTCCAAGTGGTCTCGGGTCACGAAAGCTGCTGAGTTGGGCTGTGCAGCTCGATATCTGGCATAGTCGCGTAGTTGACTCCGAAACAAGTCCACCTAATTGTAGGATCAATAACTTCCAAGTTTTAACCGGTATTGATGTGAATCCAATTCGAAGGGATTATCTGTTGAACCAAGATTTCATAACAATTCGGTTTGTAGCTTAGTTTTTTCTGGTACGGTCGTAATCCTCCATTGAATGCGCATATGTCCGATTCGGTTAAGCTCGTGATCACCGGTATTGTAAGCTAAATAACTTCTTCATCAGAATCTTGATATGGATGATTCAACTTCGTTGTGAATCCTTGTTGAGTCAGGCTTCTGGAGCAGGTTGATTTGTTGCTTAAATCCTTCTGATTCACTAGATATGCTCTATAAAAGGCACATGTGTCCTGGTCAGACCTTTGACGGCTAGAGTGACATGTTTGATGGATCTCTGGTTCAGCTACTGGTTTGATGACCGCAAAGAAACTCCATAGCATTTCAAAACAGGTAATTTATCAAAAGTTAGATAAACCCAACAACTCTGAGATAAGGAGGCTTGCAAGGCTTATATGCTTGGGTTGGTGCTCGTTGGTTCATAGCAATATGAGATTCTTATCAAATCGGTATGTCGTGAGTGCTTTTGATCCAACAATCAAGTTAAGAAGAAAACACAGATGGTGGGCGTGAATCTGCCATTAACGCTCGAGTCGCTGGCAAAATTGATGATGAGTGTAATAGCGTCACTGGTAGAGATGGAGAAGCAAACTCGCCTGAAATTCGATGCAATTGAAGACAAAATCGAGTCTGAGTTCGTCGCATTGTACAAGTTGTTGAAGAAAGGTGCAACGAATCGTCCAGAAGACATTCTCGAAACTGGTAATTATATTCCGACAATGAATACCAATCCGGTGCACTCTCATGATGTGGAACTCAGGGTGTTCTGGTGGGCTAATCTATGAAAAAATCTTTTGATAAAAACCATGTTTAAAGTAACCCTGGATGGATCTTAGTATCGACAGGGTACTACCAATAGGTATCAATATATTCTATCGATGAGTATTTTTTTTTATATGAATTATCTGTTTTGACATGTATATGTCGACAATATTAATTAAGCTTGTTAAGGGTGCGGCTTGGATAATTTTTTGTTGTGCATTCAACTAATATCCAACTAATCTCATAAAACTTAACATATATGACATATATATCTAGCTCTCCATGAAGCTATCACAAATGAAAACCAACAAAGAAAGTAAGAAGATAAACGATTTTAGCCAAACCAAGCAAGCCAAACAGAACTCAAATTGACAAATCTGAGTTTCATCTCCAACTGTAAGGAAAGATATATATCTGATTAGAAAAGGATCGTTTTACATATATAAAACCTTGCCTAGATAAAGTGTGATTAAGCATTTTACTTTCGAAGTCCTGAGCTATTTGGCATCTCTAAAGCATTCTCTTTTTCGTTTTCATTTTTAAATTAATCTTCAATATCACCTAAAATATGAAGTTATAAATTACCCAAACAAAATAAACAAGCATATTTTACGTTTGACTTTTGCAAAACCTCACAACCAATTGCGAATACAAAGCAATGTTTGGACATTCTTTGGAAGGAGACAGTTTCTGTAGAGATTTAACACTCTTCCTCCAACACTAAATGTTGACTCTGATGCCGCTGTAGTGATTAGGATGCTAAGCAGAATAGATTTTAGAGAAGCTAAATCACCATAACATTGCCTACTGTTTTTCCAATAATTTAAAACTTCAATATCTGTAAAAGATCTCAAATCTACTCTCGGTTCATCTAAATAAAGATCCAAGTTTGACTTTGTATTGTTTAAGGCAGGTTGATGCTCCCCTCAAACTCAAAGAGATCCTATATTATAGAGAAACATACTACATCAGATAAATATGATATTTATGATGTGGACTTATAATGTATGAAGAGAAAAAATACTTACAAAATTTGTATCATCTTCTAATGGTGATTTATTATAAGATCATGTGGAATTAGTCTTCGTGGCAAAAGAGAAAGCCCAAGATTTGTTCCTGAAATCTTCACAAAGATCCTTCAAGTTCTTCTTAATTACTTTAATCATCTTCTTAGAAATATTGGGATTCACTTTCATATAAGCTGATTCATGAATCTGCAGCTTCAACCATAGATGTAACACAATCCCATCACTAATATGAGACTATACTCATCCAAGTACTTTGCAAACTTAATTTACATTGGTTTAACCATTTATTCCACTTTGACATCACCACAAATGGCATACTTTCTCAACAAACCCTTAATTTTCCACACTTGTAGGAAGTACGAATTAGCTGTGGGATATTTAACTCCCGACATATATGTAGTGATGGTACTAAATGGCTTCAACAAGTCGCAATTCTTTTCTCCACAATCACACTCATCCTCTGAAGGGAATTATTTGTAACTTCTATCACTCTTTCAGGCTAGTAAATGCTTGTCGAAACTTCAAAGCTCTAGTAAGCATATCATAAGTCGAATTCTATCTTGTAGGTATTTTTAAGCATAATTTAGAACCACTCTTAATCCCTACACTTTCAACACATGCTGCAAATGCGTCCTTTCTCCATATGTTTTTCACAAACTTAACACTATCTCTAATATTCTCCACAAGACCATTGGCAAGTTCCAATCGTTGTTGCACTATGAGATTCAAAATGTGAGCACAACATCTTACATGAAAACACTTCCCATCACATAACAATCCATTACCATTAATCATCTGAAGCCAATGCAAAAGCATTTTCTGCATACTATCATTACTAGGTGCATTATCCAAAGTCATTGTGAATACATTCTTCTTCAAACCCCTCCTTTTGGCAACTAAGAACTTTGTTAGCTAGTTCTTGACCACTGTGTGGAAGCTTCATATCATAAAAAGTTAGGATTTTTTTATTTAACATCCACCTATCATCAACATAATGAACAATCAAAAAATATATCCCATCATTGTGGTCCGAGCTGTTCACATATCTGCTGTGAAACACAAAATGCCTTTGTTTAATGCAAATAGATTTTTCAGCTTCCCTCTTTCTAACTCACACCGCCTATATATATGCCGACTATTTGTGTTCAAATACTTATCTCTTGCTCTGGCTTTTTCAGACTCCACATAATGAAAAGGTTGATCATAATAAATAATAATCTCACTCATCTTTTCAAGGTCAAGTTTGTGATCATATTGCCTTTCTTCACCTAGTCCTGAAAACCTTTTGGGGCAAGATTTTAAATGGCGTATCAAAGCTGTTGTTCCTTAACCACTTTTTGTTACTAATTTTTTTACTACAATGTATGCAACGACTCCTTCTTTTACCATCTACCTTTACTCCTACCGATACAAACTCTTTCCAAACAAAAGAATTTTGGCGTTTTGTTAGAAACATGTACCATTTGTGATTGTGATGCTCCTTAAGGCGTTTTTGTTTTAACTTCTTCATTCATATGTGATTGTGATGCTCCTTAAGGAGTTTCAGTTTACCCTTCTTCTTTCATTGCTGCCACATATTCACTCTCAGTATCAAGTTCTGCGAGTAATTGAAGTGACGGTAGATCAATTCTACAAAATAAAAAAGACACATGATCAAAAGACAATTTAATAAAAAATGACTAAAAGCAATTCAGTAAAAAATGACTAAAACTAATTTATAATTCTCAATTTTGTGGAACTGAAACATAAAGAATGCACAATCAGAAACCAAACCCAATTCTTGATCATTAATTTATCCAAGCTCAAAACACAGAAACAAAAGACAATTTCGCAGAAAATTACTAAACTAATTTGTAATTCTCGATCTTGTGGAAGTGAAACTTAACAAATGTACAATCAAAAACCAAACCTAATTCTCAATCACAAGTTTACCCAAACGCAAGAGAAGAGTTGTTTCAAAGCGATTGGAAACCAAACAAAATTCAGAAACTTTTATAGACAACTGTAACTTGTAAGAAACCCTAATTCTCAAATTCCCTACCCAAAAACTGACTTCGATGAGGATTAAAGAGTCATCAATTGTATTGGCTCGACAGTGAACTTTTCCCATGACCTGGTAGGGGTGTAAATAATACTCA